TATATATATTTATATTTTAACATTCTAAAATAACATTATGTAATAACTTACGAAAATAAAATTAATAATAAAATATCATTTTTATTTTAAATATTTTCAAAATCAAATATGTAAAATCTTTCTCAGAGGGCGCTTTACATTATGGCAGACGACAGGAAGGTAAACAATGTATTGAAATAATTTTCGATGTAAAGCGATTTATATGTATGAAAATATGGTACAGTCGCATGTTTAATGTTATTTAATCATGAATTTAGAAGAAAACGGGGATATTCCTCAACATGGTAGGTATTATATATATCTGTTGATATAATTATATTTTGAAATCTGTCAATACGTAATTAACACAGTAAATACATAAACAAGAATGGCGTGCTTATCACGTGTACATAAAAATAAGCAATTTAGAAGTTTTTATAAGAAAAATGCCTATTAAACACATTAAGAGTCATTCAAATAGGACATCTGCATTGGGAAGGAGTTAATGTTGTTTTATTTTCCTTATTCTATATCAATTAGACAAATATACTTGAGGACTTATCACACCAGTGAACTAAAATTAAATTACAAAGTCTTTAATGATTTTCTACAATAAAGTATGGTTCTTTTTGACAATATATTGAATAGAACACTTAAAATGCATTTCAATTGTTAAACATCACCCAAAATAATTATGAACTTGTCATTTTAACGTGGCTCTTTAATGTATATTTTTGTTATTTATATAATGTTACAATTTAATTTTATATTTTGTATAAATTTATAGTTCGTATTTGTATAATTTTACGAAAGCTAACTGAAGAGGGACGTATAGGTCCGAAATGCGTTTTAAGTGTTTTATGTAATGTATCATTAAACAGAGCCTTACCTTATTGTAGGGAATCATTAAAGACTTTGTAATTTAAGTCTAGTAAACAGGTTTGATAAGCTCTCAAGTATATTTGTCTAATTGATATAGACTAAGAAAAATAAAAATACAGGGTGCCCCACTCAGGAGTACAACTTTAAAAATGTGAATTACTCACAAACGCGTGCGTGTATCATCATGCACTGAGGTTCAAAATACAGTAGATCCCCCTATAAGACGGTAGATACGTTCCGTTCTTTATGAATCAATTTTGTAGGAATCATAGTTTACGGACTACGGCTGTTTGAAAGGTTTTCTTTCATAAAATTAATCGATTCTAGACTAATTCGACTCAACATTTCCAAAATACGTATATTTTTTTGAAAATAATCCGTATAAACTACGTTATAAACAAAAAATTGTAGGATTGCTTACCGAGTGTGTACCGTTCGACTACGCCCGTTGCTAAAGCTTGGTTTCGTCGCGGAACAGCGCATCAAATTGCGGCCGCGATTTCTGATATTATTTTTCTGCGAAAACTTCGTTGACCTTTGGAGACATCATTAATATAAATAATTTTTATGGCCGTTAAATAAGAAATGTTTCTTTCACAAGAAATGTATAAAATTACAGTACTAAACAGACGATAGGTCGCCTAACTCGCCGTAGCGTGACGCTAGACGGCGAAAAATATATATTTAATTATAATAAAGTTACAATAAATTAAGTTAATATATAATTATATATACAGTACCTAATTTATATATAATTAATATATAATTATATGTACAGTACCTAATTTATATATAATTTATATAATACTGTCCAGACGATAGAAATCTCTCCGTAGCGTGGCGCTACGGACGGCGGGTAAGTAGTTCGGCTGCCCGATGACGTTTTACGTATTATAGGAGTTATTTTTACTGTTGTTTACGGATAATGCCACAATTTTTATAGGAATCATAACTATAGGAAACGGTTTTATAGGGGGATCTACTGTATTCCATATTTAACAAAGAATTGATCAGAAGATCAGTGTGTGGTGCGCGATTTCTCGTTCTCGGATCATTGGTCCAATTTTCTTTGATGAGACTGTGAACACCGACCGATACGTGTCCATATTTGACGAATTTGTGAAACAACTGAACGACTATGAACTTCGAGAAGGTTACTTCCAATGGGATGGGGCAATGTGCCATACCTCTCGTGCCAGTATGGAAGAGATCCGATCATTTTTTGGAGACTGAGATCTCGAAAGGTTTGTGGCCACCTTGATCACCCGATTTAACTCCCCCAGATTTTTTTCTATGGGGATATTTAAAGGGCAAGCTGTATGCAAGCAAACCCAGGAGCATTGAACAAATGAAAGCAAACATCGAGTGTGAAATTGCTGTTATCGACAGTGACATGGTTTTTTTTTTTTTTTAATAATTGAAATTATTTATTGGCATAGAAGGCTTTCGCCTGTTACAAGGGCATTTTAAAAACGCATATTAACATCTCATATAATATTATTTTAACAACTTTGATTTTTTTCTATTTATTAATCTATAGAATTATATTAATAATTTATCACAATTATCATTTAATTAGTTGTTTAACGTAGTTATATAACATATAAATTGTGTTTACATTAGCTTTATCAAATGTCTTATACATTTCCAACTCACTAGTACATTTAGCCAGTGGCCTAATCTGGAGTCTTTGAAGTTTATCCTTTTCATTACAATGTTCACGTATAATATGGATTTTAGATAAATTTTTGGTACAGTTTGGACATTTTGATTGGGTCTAGTGTATATATTTATCATTTATATTTATTCCATTTTTATTTAACCTAATCTGTATAAAAAAACTTTTTAATGTTAAAAGCTATATTTGTCAGTATATAGTTGTTATTTGTTGGATAATTTAGCATTATTGCATACCAGCTTGTGTTTTCTTGTTTTCGTATATCTTCAATGTCTTGAATAGTAGAGTATCCCATAACTCTATATATTATTTCTTTACTGTACTACTCCATATTATATGTACGGTCCACGAACAGCTTAATCGAAAATCCATATTTATTTATTATCTCGATAACTGAATTATCCAACTTCGTCTTAAGTTTATTTCCCTTGATTTGTGATATAGTATGAACAACAGTTTTGTTGTTATATCTTCTGCCTTAATAATTTTGAGTAAGAACTTTAAATATCTTTTTATTAGTATAGTATTTAATTTTAATCTATTTGTTTCTAATCTTAAAGCACTACCAGGGATATTATATTCTAGCTGGAATATCTTACATATAAATATATTCTGTATTTTTTCAAAGTCGTTAAATTTTTCCATGTTCCAAACTGGGGCCGCATAGCCCATTGAATTCATCACTATCAAATTAAAAAGTTGAAAATGTGTTGACAGTGACATGTTACAGAGGACATTCTCAAATATGGAGTGTTGCGTTTCCTTGTGCGCAGACATTTGGGGAGGACATTTTAAGCACCTTTTGTATTGTACTTGTTTTCCACTAAATACAGGTATGTTCAGTTCTTGCAGCTTGCCTTTACATTCACACGTTTGTGAGTAATTTGCATTTTTACGCCAGGGTGTCCACTCGGGAGTGCAACACCCTGTAGCTTTCATCCATTGCTTTACTACACAGGACAAGAATGATGAGCTATGTCAAATCTCCTGATTAGCCGTGCAACGTGGCTATTCTCCAAGCCTCGTTTTGGGCCTTATACAATAACAATTGCAGTACATCAATTCAGTAGTCACAGTTGATAGGTCCTTTAAAGTGGTTACATATGACAAGATCTTCTCTAAGATCTACAAGAAGATTGTCCAGACTTGNCTGTATTTTTTCAAAGTCGTTAAATTTTTCCATGCTCCAAACTGGGGCCGCATAGCCCATTGAATTCATCACTATCGAATTAAAAAGTTGAAAATGTGTTGACAGTGACATGTTGCATAGGACATTCTCAAATATGGAGTGTTGCGTTTCCTTGTGCGCAGACATTTGGGGAGGACATTTTCAGCACCTTTTGTATTGTACTTGTTTTCCACTATATACAGGTATGTTCAGTTCTTACAGCTTGCCTTTACATTCACGGGTTCGTGAGTAATTCGCATTTTTACGCCAGGGTGTCCACTCGGGTGTGTAACACCCTGTAGCTTTCATCCATTGCTTTACTACACAGGACAAGAATGATGAGCTATGTCAAATCTTCTGATTAGCCATTCAACGTGGCTATTCTCCAAGCCTTGTTTTGGGCCTTATACAATAACAATTTCAGTACATCAATTCAGTAGTCACAGTTGATAGGTCCTTTAAAGTGGTTACATATGACAAGATCTTCTCTAAGATCTACAAGAAGATTGTCCAGACTTGTGATTTCAACTTTATTTACAAGAGAAGCCCAATGGTTTTTTTCTATGATCAAGAATGCCAAGGACCCTTGTGAGAGGATGTTCCTGCTAGATGTCTGCCATTGCTATCCAGGATGACAGAGTAAGATACTCTTTGGAGTATGTAGGAATGACAGGTAGAGGCTTAGGCATGCAGATTAAGGAGCACGAATACAGCATCAAGAAGGGCCTTTCAGTGACTGCCCTGGCTTTGTTCACCCATGATAATGATGTGTGTGATGCATTAGATCAAGTGTGACTTTTACACCATTCCTCCAACCTGACCTGTCTCAAATACTTGAGTATATGGAGATCTGTAAGGCTTGTAGAAGAGGTACAGTCATCAATTATAAAGAGGTGGACTCTGTCTCACTTGCATGGAAGGCCTGAAATGTTTTCTCCCATTGTAAGAAATTAAATTTTGAATCAATAAACTGAATTTTAAGTAAACTTTCTGTAAATTTAAATGCCACTATTAGAAAATTTGTGACATATAAAGATGCTTCAATCTCTATTCAATAACTTTTTAGCAGAATGTGAAATCTGTGTTGTAGATATAGTATTTAATCTGTTCATTATCTTTCTAGTCTACTGAACCATCATAATTTTATGGAGAAACCTATTCAAAATATCTTGTTATGGACTATAACACTCACCATTGTTAAATACATTGTGAAAAAATTTTAAATGTACCATGCATTGTGTAAATAATAATAATTATTATTATTATTTTTTTTTTGTTAATGTCAGACTGTTCATTAATTATGTTATTTTTATTTTTTGTAGTGTACCAGTGTAGTGATCTTGGATTTTATCCATTGCATGTAGCTGCTGCATCAGGTAATTATTTCAATCTAAGAGAACTGTTAAGAGAAGGTCATTCTCCAAATTCCACAAATTTTGATGATCTAACTCCATTACATGTGGCATGTTTGCAAGGAAAGACAGAATGTGCAGAATTATTGTTAAATTTTGGAGCAAGAGTAAGTTTGTCATTATATACATTAAAATTTTGAGTACCATATTAATTTTTAAATTGAGTTTATGTAATTTATATACAGTAATACCTCGACTTACACGAACCTGTGTGGGTTCCCAGACGAGGTTCGAACGCGAGTAAACCGTGAAATTCTTGCGCGACACAAAATGTAAACAACGAGACTCGGAACGGTTCGAGTATGTGTCAAACTATCTGTCAAGGTCTTAGCGGAAGACAAACTCTAACACGAGTGCTCATAAACAGGTAGATCTTTGACTCGCTAGTCTATAAAATGTTGGCCAAGATAAACCTTTTCGAACAAAAAAATAGAGAAATTTTTGATAGGTGAAAATGATCGTTAAATTCTTAGACGTCAAAAAATGGTAAATAACGGCCTGAGTTATGAGTGCAGGTGTTATTATTTTATAAACAGTCATCGAGCAGAGTCGACAAAGATGTATCAGATGGACACCTCGAATCGGACCTTTCCTGCGACCTGAAATAGTTTCATCTTGCACCTGGAGACAAAAGAGAGACCAATCGGGAAGCAAGGAATGGGACGAGGGACCAATCCGAAATGCGAACAATGGGGGAAAAACTATAAAAATCGGAACTTCAAGGTCGAAAGAGAGTCTCCTCCGGATTAAGCCTACAGTGGTGATTTAAATTGTGTTGTGCATCCGCCGATCACCAAGGACGCCGCAACGTAACAACGAACTTCTGCTTCGTCCAGATATCCTTCTCGTCCGCCCGAACTGCGACCGAGATCACGAACTTTCGCCGTTCCCAGGAGCACCGAGATTTTGGAATTTTCCATTATTGGTGTAAGCATGAGTTTGAACAAATAAACGGGTTTTATCTTGTAAAACACTTGGACATCATTTGCCTCCTTCGCCACCGCCCACATACGCAGTTTCCCTTAGGCTCATTCTGACGTGAGATAGACTTTTTCCCCCTCAACATCGGCAAAACTTACACCTGGAGTTACGCGATTTTCAAATCTCATCGATTCGTCTTTTGTTTGAGCGCCACACAACTATTGATTACTCATTCCCCCCACACTATTGTTCAGCTTACAGTTGTAGCTATGTGTCGCGTGGAATCAACACATAGCTACAACTTATTTTGTGTTATTTATTTCTGTATTTGTTATATCTACGGAGACTTGAGAGACTCTATGTGGTGATTTCTTCTAACAGTGAACGAATCAAAAGACGAGATAAGATTAACGAGAACATTTATTAGCTTACATACATCCAACTTGGATTTTACACAAATTGCGAAATTATACCCCGACTTACACGGTTATTGCTCAGTCCCACCTATCGCGTAAGTTTGCGGTATTACTGTATTAAAGTATGTTAATTAATAAGTAAATCACTTTAATGAGAAATTAAAAGTAAAATTATTTAAGATATAAAAATAAACACTGTCTATTTTTTTTTTAAATTTCTATTCTGAGAAAACTTCTTCCAAAGTATTTAAAATTTTGTATTCATTACTATATAATTTTTTCAAATTTTATTGGAATATTACATGAATATTTGCTGTAAATTAATATTTTAATTTTATAAGAGTTTATTCTTGTAATAAATTTGGGAATTTTTTGCTTAAAGATCTAGATTATCATTAGTATTTTTTTGTGAAATATTAATTTTAATTGTTTCATTTATGTGTTTAATAGGTAAATGCGCGTAGTATTGATGCTAGTACTCCTCTTTGCGATGCTTGTGCTGGTGGTAGTGCTGACTGTGTACGTTTGCTTTTAAAACATGGAGCAGAAGTAAATCCATCATTATTATTAACATCACCTTTACATGAAGCTTCATTAAAAGGTAAAATTATATTACATTATTAGAATAAAAGGGTTTTTTTTTCATGTTCCAAACTAACAGAATGTGTAATCCTTGCTTGAATTTTTAAACATAATCTTTTTATGTTAATTTAGATAAAGTAGCAATATATTTATCAATGTTAATTAATACTAGTTGTGAGTTGTTCTGACTACACCTCTAGAAGTCATATTTGAACTAGAGATTTCTTGAAATAATATTTTTATATCTAGGTTTAAACCAACTACATTGAAAGTTTTACCTTTTAGTTTTATTTTAATAAAAGAATTACAGATTTTAATTCTTGAAGAAATTAATGTGAATAAGATTGTGAGATGTTATAACATTCAAATATGTCAAGATAGATAATTATTTAGGACTGAATATAATTTTTCTATGTCATGAAAGTTGATTATATGGAAGACAGTACAGTGGAACCTCGATATACGACCTTAATCCGTTCCTGATGTTTGGACTTATACCGAACAGGATGTATACCAAACCAACCTTTCCCATAAGAAGTAATGTAAAAATGATTAATCCGTTCTCATGTAAAAAAAATGGCTGGCTGTAAACACCTCGCTTTCCTGGCTAGTTCCTGCTTGATTTTTCTTGAGATCAGCATGTATATTTTTAGCTTTCTCACAAATAATTGCTTCTGATACGCTATAATTGCACAAATAATTGCTTCTGATAAGTTGATTTCCCTTTTTGACACAAAAATAACGAATGTGGCTTCTGTTAATGTAAACAACACATATTTAATTACTCTGAGAAAACCAAAGTATCTTCTAACGATTTAGAGTGAAAATTAAATTCAAAACGTATAATTATCACATTCCCACATAGTAAAACTATTCTTCACAAAAAGAAACAGTAGTTATTTGCTTTCTCCATTGAAAGATGAAGGAAATAATTTAGAGTTTTCATTTGAAGGAAGGTCAGTTTGAAAACGGCCCTAATCTCGATCAATGTATTAATCTCTATGTTTAATTATATTCATTGTAAAATTTTCGTCCCAATTCTCACACTGAGGTTTTTTGAATAAATATAATAAAAATTGAAAAGTTGAGTGCAACAGTGGTCTAACCCTGTTTTTTTAAAACATAAGATATTGTATTGTAAAGGTGTCATATGCTAATTTTTCATATTTTGCTGTTAAACTTTTTTGTTTCCATTAATATTTAATTAGAACTCTAGTAATCTTTCATTCTGTTTAGAGATAGTATATTTAATACATAAGAGTATGGACTAGTAATATATATATATTATGGACATTGGAGAGAGTTAAAACAATGTTGTGCTTAGCCTTTCAATTGTTTTTAGTAGGAATCACTACTGAAAAAAATTCAAATGTTTTTGAGTATTATTTACTCGTTGTTAGGATCTAAATACAGTAAGACCCTGCTTAACGCTGATTTGATATAATGCCATCTGCTCGAAGCCTTAAAAAAAGCTCAAAATTTATGCTGATTTAAATTATCATGGCATTTTATTGATTTGTATATAATACGATTATTTATGAACACGAACCAATCAGAAAAAGGTGTACTTTCTTTAAATCTATGTTTGTTTGGTGGAATTTTGGAACAAAATATAACACCATGGATGCCGTAGGCAATATCTGCTTTGCTTGGCAAGAATTAACTGATAAATGCACAAATGAAGTGTGAAGGAAGTTATGGCTGAAGGTATCCAAGAATTCTCAATGAGAAGAGCCTATCGCTGTATCATTATACCCCGTTCGCACTGAGCATTTCAATCTAGATTGTGACCGAGGTCGGCGACTATGCCATGGTGCAACCTCTCTCGACCGTTTCAGTCTCGACTGAAACGGTCGATCGTGTTTGAACCTCGTTTCAGTCGAGACTGAAACGAGGTTCAAACACGATCGACTCAAGAGTCATAAGAGAAATCCCACAATTCCATGCACACAAGAAAATACAAGATAGCTGTGGAACACATGTCGTGCTATCAACAGAGAAATAAAAAAAAATACTGTATTTGGAGAGACGATGATATCTGTCTATTATTAGATATATGGGAAGAAAAAGTACTGTATTTATATCTAACCGAAACTTCCATTTTGTTTGTTGGTGTTTGTGACTTATCACGTAGTTATGTCAGTTTTATCGTCGCATGTAATAGACAGGTTCTTCTCAAGCAGGACTGCCTGTGCAAACAGCACGACGCTGTTTGCACATACAATCTGGATTTTGACTGGTGACAGTCACAATCCAGATTGTAGGTAAATCGAGATCAAGGTGAGTCGTGGATTGTGTGCGAACGCAGTATTAGGTTGATCAAACTCAACCTAATCAATACAAGGTCCGTTTCATAAATAATGCAACCAAATTCATAAAAAATCATTTATTGAACATATTTTTACAATTAGTCAAAAATCTTCGAAATAGCACCCTCCTGCATCGATACACTTGTGAAGGTGGTGTTTCCAGACCTGGAAAGCATTCTGGAAGGCCTTCTCCGGAATGTCCTTTATAGCTGATGTAACATAAGCCTTGATGTTTTCAATTGTGTCCCAATGTTTCCCTTTCATGCAGGGAAACAAAAAACAGTTGGTGGGAGCCAGGTCAGGACTGTAAGGTGGCTGTGGAACCAATGGGGTGTGGGTTCTGGCCAGGAAATCATTGACAGTGAAGGTGCTGTGGCTTGGCGCGTTGTCGTGATGAAGTTTCCGCGTGTCCTTGATGTCACTTCAGCAGTGCATGACTAGGATTTCAGTCTTTTGAACACTTCTAAGTAGAAAGCTGCATTTACAGTGGTCCTGACAGGTACGAATTCGTGGTGGTTAATGACTCTGACGTCAAAGAAGACAATTCGGGAGGTTGATGGATGTCCACTGCAAGGTTTATTGGTGACCTCCTCTTGGCCATCTTTGAACAACTTGTGCCATCGAAAGACTTGTGATTTGGAGAAGCAATCACTCCCAAAGGCCTGCTGAATTAATGTAAAAGTTTCAGTGGCAGACTTCCCAAGTTTAACGCAAAATTTGATAGCGTAACGTTGCTCGACAAAATGATCCATCGCTCCATGTTACATTAACTCAAAACGGGGTTCACGGGAATGAATGTTCTCACATGCCGGCAGCTTGGAGGCAAACGAGACCGGGCTTGTTTTGAAGCTAACACCCCACACCACCTAGCACAGCAGGTTAGAACTAGCTATGGCATATCGTCATGTCACGAAAAAATTAGTCACATTATTTATGGAATGCACCTTGTATAGCAGGATTAGGAGATGTAGACGAATAGGATATTGAGGAGTTACTGCAGGTTTCTGGTGAGAGTCTTATCAACGACAGACTTTCAAGAACTGGCAAAACAAGGAATTCGTGTGCAACTGGAAAATAGTGATTCTGAAAACGAAGAACCCAAAGAATTTCTCTACAGATTTCCTTAGTAAAATTGGTAATGATAACCGAAATTGTTGATCAAATTGTAGTGAATGATCTAGATTTTGAAAGGAGTGCAAAAGCAAAACAAGGCGTTTTGGATGCAATCTTCTGCTACTGACATTTGCTTAAGGAAAGAAAAACGTGACAAATGAAACTTCAGGACTTTATTGCAAAAAAACAAGAATTTCAGAAAAGTCAGGACCTTTGTCACAAAAAAATGAACTAATTAATATACACACAGAATTGTATAATAATATACATTTATATGTTATTTAACAAATATTATTATACAAATTAATATAAAAATAACTTAAAATTAAAGTAAAATTTTTTAATTTTTGGTCATGTGTTTCCCTATCCCTATTTACTCTACATTAAAATGACCTTGTTTAACAGTGTTTTGTTTAGCACTTTGTTGTCTAGGAATATATCTCCCACATTAAGCGGGGTCTTACTGTATTTAAAATAGAACAAAGTTAATCTTTAATGAAACAAATTCTAAATTCCACTGCCATGGTTACAATAAAAACAATAGCAAACTTATATTGTTTTATTATAACCATTGCAGCAATTTGAATTTTAATTTTGATATTTGATTAATTGATAATACTTTGAAATATATTGCATTACTTAAGAGAGAAATTTAATCTCAAAGTAAATCATACTGCTACCTTTTTAACATTTAATGTCTGTTTTTAATATATAATTTTTTGAATACAAACAGTTTATTACCCAATACTTCTCCAAAGTTTCCTTTGATCTTAGGAATTTAGCAAATGTTTACTTTAATTACACTCAAAATTTTTACATATGTAAAATGAGAACTCTTTATGCCAATGCATTCATTAAATTCTTTCATAAAATTAATAAATAAATTGGATATAAATTATCAGAGATTGATTAATTCTAATATTTGATAAACATTGTTATGTTATGTTAATTATAGAACTCTGAATGTCTAGTTTGNACACTGTTTTGTTTAGCACTTTGTTGTCTAGGAATATATCTCCCACATTAAGTGGGGTCTTACTGTATTTAAAATAGAACAAAGTTAATCTTTAATGAAACAAATTCTAAATTGCACTGCCATGGTTACAATAAAAACAATAGCAAACTTATATTGTTTTATTATAACCATTGCAGCAATTTGAATTTTAATTTTGATATTTGATTAATTGATAATACTTTGAGATTAAATTTCTTAAGTAATGCAATATATTTCAAAGTAAATCATACTGCTACCCAATACTTCTCCAAAGTTTCCTTTGATCTTAGGAATTTAGCAAATGTTTACTTTAATTACACTCAAAATTTTTACATATGTAAAATGAGAACTCTTTATGCCAATGCATTCATTAAATTCTTTCATAAAATTAATAAATAAATTGGATATAAATTATCAGAGATTGATTAATTCTAATATTTGATAAACATTGTTATGTTATGTTAATTATAGAACTCTGAATGTCTAGTTTGCTCCACTAGAAATCATATTTGTTATATAGTTTATTCAGAAAATCATGCTTTAAAAATAAAAATACTAATGATAATAATTAAAGTNCTCTGAATGTCTAGTTTGCTCCACTAGAAATCATATTTGTTATATAGTTTATTCAGAAAATCATGCATTAAAAATAAAAATACTAATGATAATAATTAAAGTTTGCAGTCTATTTTATATAAACAACACTAATATCATACTTTGCTGATCGTGATTGGACTTTTTTCCTTCTTTTTGCAGTGTGGACACTAAGAGATTCTTTTTCTAGGCCCACAATGGGGTAGTCAGGTGGTGAGGGACAAGACCCAACATATCTGAGACAGATTGCCCATAAGATTTCTGGAATTGCTTGATCAGATTTAATCCCATCCCAGATTAGGCTGACACCTTAACCATCTCAGCTATCCAGCCATTGCCATTAGCTAGTTGAAGATTGTAATATTGAATGGTTATGCNTTTCTTATTAGTATTAAACACTTTTGGTTAATTCAGATAATAAAATTGAAAAAATACACTAAATTCTAGATTTACATCGAGGTGTAGAAACAAAGTCACCAGCAGCGCACACCTTTTTTCATAAATTTTATATATGTTGTAAAAATGAGTAAACTAGCATAGTATAGTAGACTAAGAAGAATTGATTGAGTACAAAATAAATATGCAAGTAAAATTTATTAGTATATTGTATATAATTTTTTTTAATTCTTTCAAATGGGAGTTATGTATATTTGAGTGGTGGAAAAGTTAACATTGTTTTGTAGTAAGCAGACTTTAATTACAATTTAAAAATTAATTTACATGTAAATATAAAATTACATTTTTGTTTGATATTTTTCAAAACTAATGAGTACACAGTAAGAAACCTTCAAGTTGGAATTTCTAGTTCTAGTTGATTTAATCATATTTGATTTCTTGCTAGTACTGATCAAAATGCTATAGTAGTAAAAGATAACAATTACAATATTTTTTCTTGCTGATTAATGGTATATAATGAGTCAATCCAATTAACTTAACTCATAAAAAATATTCTTGACAATAATCAGACAATTTTCTACTTTATTTTCGTATTGATTATTCTTTTGATATAAATATATATTTCTGAAATTTACCTTGTTTTTCTTACTTTCTAAATTCATTAATAGCAAATATCACAAAATCATATATAATTGCAAGCTACTTATTGCATATCAAGTATGAGTATACAGTTTTTTTATTTTGATTGTATTATTTTATTGCCTATATCACACTTTAAATCATATTCTATTGATATTTATTTGCAATGGTGCAAAATTTTAGGATATATTCTCATGATCAAAATATTTTTTTTTGTTTTTAGGTGCCCTTGTAAATGCTACAAAAATTCATCAAACACCACTACATATAGCAGCTAGTAATAACTATTTTCAAACAGCCAAGGTGCTTTTGGAATATGGAGCAAATGTGTTTGCTCTCAATAATCAAAATAAAAAACCAAGAGATTTACTTCATCAACAGTCAGGATTATTTTATGATGAATTACTTAGGCTTGAATGTGAGTTTGTATCTTTTTTTTTTATTTGATTTGTTGAAATATAAATTAAATTTTTGCCATCAACAAGAAACCAAGTTTTTAGAATTGTTTCTTGTATCCCATGCATTAGTATGTTAAAGGAATTATGGATTTTAAATAGGATAAAACATGTTTTTGTTGAAGAAATAAATAATCAGAAATTAGATTAAGCCTAATGAAAACCGTTTTTCAGGGATAGTGTATAGCAATGGACTACTTAAAATGAATCATAGATGACCATCTATTGGTTGTGAGCCAAAATATTTTGTCTGAGAGAGATGTCATATGTGTAAAGTGAGTTTTTTCTGGTTAAACAGCATATATAAAGGAAAAATAAGTGGCTCTTAGACATACAGAGTGTAGAGTTTAAATATATTAAAGATATCGTCTATATCAGAGGTTGGCAACCGGTGGTCCATGAAGAAATTTGGACATTGATCAACTGAAGGTTACACAAAGAAATGCAGAATGCTTAGCTGTCTGTTTCACTCATTGGGGATTTTTATTCCAATGTAAAATCAAATACGAAGTGACTGTTATCAATAAACAATATTGTGAGTGCAATTGTCGTCCTTCCTGGAAAAGCGCTAAGAAATCCATAAACTTATTTCTATCAAGCAGCAATAAACTTTAATTATAACAAATTAATGCAAGCCTAAACACGCAAGTTTCATATTAATATAGTAAAATTGAACTTTTATCATCATTATTCTACAGATTTTGTATCGTTTCAAAAAATTCACGATAGTGCTCCGCGAGATCAGAAAGGTTGCCGACCGCTGGTTTATATCATTCTCTAGTACTATTTTGACATTACAGTATAATGATTCAAATGCTATCAACTGTCAAAATACAATACATTATTATATGCATTTATTATTTTTGATCAGTAGTGGCACTAGTTTATTTCAACATATAAAATCTTACATGTAGTAGCTCATACAAGACAAAGTTAAAATGCCTAGATAATATTTATTAAATGATACTATCATTGATAATTAATATATGTACACAGAGTAAATTAATTTTAATTTACAAACAATATTACATAGTACAGTAGAGCCTCGAAAACTCGGCACTCGATAACCCGGCATTCCGGATAACTTGGCCACACCCTGGCAGGGCAAAAAAAATCCTTAGTTAATTAATTTTCATTATAGACAGCTTTATGCCTCAAAGTATTTTTCTGAGGTCTGTCTTATCAAGTAAATTACTGTACACAGTGTATTCATTAATTTTCATTTTCATGTAGTAAAGGCCTTCATAAAGGACGTACTTTTCCTTTGTTTAAGGGTATTTGGGCAGTTTATTCTCTGTTGTATNAATTTGAAAAATTTGTAAATTTCCACTGTTGTCTGTCCTCCTTTAATCTCAAAAACAGATTAGATAAATGAAAGTTGCAACCAGATAAGCTGAGCCTCCTGCCTCTAAGCTTTCCATAACTATATATGTACTTCAATTTGAAAATTTCCTTTCTGAACAGAGTTAGATGGATGACTTCCTGTTAGCAATAGAGTCGTGCCAAAGTATGATGTACAGGGGAAATGCAAGACACTACTAAAAGAATTATTTATTGTGACATCATCACAATGTTCTCAATTGCTTATATGTGTATATAAGCAATTGATATTGATATAATTATTTTGGTTTTACCACAGTTCATCTCTTCTTTCTCCTCTTTTGCAGTATTAATTAATGCATATTTGTATATGGAATTTATATGCATTCTAATAAGATGCCAATACGTGTGTTGATTGAGAAAATGCAATGAAAGTAATAGAAAAAAGTAACTCCTTAATTTATGTTATAGATGAGGCTTGGCTAACAATCCACCTCAATTATCTTACAGAATTGTCTGTTCTTAAAATTTGATTGATCTATTTTGATAAAATTTTGCAATGAGGAATCCAAAAATGTAATTAAAAATATGAGGTCAGACCCCATTTTTGAGATTTTTGCAGCCAAAGTTTGAGATTTTTGCAGCCAAAGTTGCATTGTCCCTGATGCAAAATGACAACCTAATAGAATTTAGAGCACAAAAATTTAAAAAAAAAAAGGTGCACACAATGCTTTTTTAACAGAAAATGGCAATCAAGAATAAAGCAATTGATGCCAAGCAAGTGTAAGGATTGCTTTCTTATATGGTCAGCAACCATTTTTTTCTAATCTCTCTCACACACACACACACACACAAACAAACACGTATCAATGCTTGGTTACATGGAGTGAAAGATGATTTATATGTACTAATAACTAATGTAAATATTTTTAATTACAAAAATGCAGCACTCCACCTTAATTTTATTGTGATACAACAGAGTCATGCATTCACACAAATGGCAATGGCATACTTTTTCATTAAAAACGTGGAGATTTTTCAAAGAATTATCTCCATTAAGACTAATAGCGTAAGTTTCATCTTATGTAGATTACTACTACTAGGACAATGCATGGCTTTGTTCCTGATTAAAATATTGTCCTAGTAGTAGTAATGATTTTTCTGCTAATGACGATCACAAAAAAGTGACTTTGTGATATGTTTTTTGTTAAAAAACTTGCTTATAATATATAAAACCACAAACATTAAGTCAGAAGAAATTTATTAGATTAAGTATAAAGAGCAGATTTAAAAAATGTTAAATATAAGGACACTTATATATGTACACAATATTAAATTAAAATTAAAATTATAATTAAAAGATATATTACATATAATTCATTTGATTTCAGAATGATTACAATTATAATTTAATGGCACTCACTTTAGCATTTGTTTATAGTAGACTCTTGATTATCTGGAATGTTTAAAAACAATATATGATATGAGAAGATCACTGCCAAAAAAATATTAAAAAGGATTAACTATAATAGTATATCTTCTAATGTTTTATAGGGATGATGAGGATAGTGGAAAATTAATTATTTACCTTTTTATTCTTGGATAATCATGAGTTTACCATAATTATTAAAAATAAAATTATCAAACTTTTAAGTAAACTTTACCAATCTTAATTAGGTAAAGATTTAAGTGAATTTAACAATTATAAATAGATCAGCAGAGTTGTTATATGATTCAAAAACAACTGTCTAACTATATTACAGCATATAAGTGGTAGTATTAATAATGATAATACATTGATGCAAAAAAAATTGCCCCACCTTAAAGCCAGCATTAGTAATCAAATTCTGCATGTGGAATGGTGATTAAAAAATAAATAATTCATTACAATATTACAACACAGGGAATTATCATTAAAAAGCAATTTTATCATGAATATTACAAGTCAGGAATTGGAAAACATGGCCTAACCATTCTTCAAATGATGCATCCTTGTGTTGTGATGATGTAATAAATTTTTAAAAATTTTTCACTACTATAAGGCGTGTCAATTTTTTTTCAACGTGAGGTATATAAATAAGATACTGTAGCTAAATCCATCTGATATTGAATTTATGAATTTGCTAACTTTAGATATACAGTGAAACCCCCTTAAAATATCACTTTGTGACCATCAAAGGTTCCGAGTAAAAGTAGAGGTTTTACTGCATTTATTATAATGTGACCTTATAAAAATAGCACGCAAGATTTAAGATCGGTTCCTGCTCGTGTGAAATCACAGCAGAAATTATGCTGACAACGTGGAAGGTTTGCTGCCACATCGAGTCAATCTCATCTATTTTTCTGTCATGATAAAATTGAAATGTGTCAAGGATAATTATTATTATTTTATTTTATGTAATATGTATAAATATCTGAATACTACTGAATTGATAAATATTGCAGATAGTATTTGAATATTCTAAAGTTTTGTTCCTGGTAGCCCAAGTGTTTTGAATTGCAATTGAAAATATTTATTTTAATATCAGTAGATGTATTATTTTTTACGAATGCATGCAATTGGGATCGAAATTATATTGCACAAAATTATTTTTGTAGTTATCAAGTCTGCTAGTGAATAGAAGTTGATAGTTGATTGACAGAGTGACTAATCTGGTATTACAAAAAAATCTCTAGAACAATATGACGATAGATTTTTAATTTCCATGTTAATCAGATGTATCTCATACTAATACCACACCAGAAGTTGTAAGAGTATTAGATATATCTGATCATTCTACTGTAAAAGATGAAAAAAGTGTCTTCAATTTGATCCTAGCAATCATTTTTATATTGAAGTCGACTAAGCTGAGCCAAAATTCAACAAAAACAAGGTACTTTCATGTTGCTGTCATTGTTGATCAGTTTGTGTATTAATTAACACAAAAGCAGCAACAGATTTATGATATTACATATCTAATATTTATTGAAAGCAAGAAAATCAACACCTTACATATATTTTCCGGCACAAAGAGTTTGTATAACAAATGTTTTCAGTTTACTTTATAAACCTGCTCCAGGTTTGAAATTATAAAATTTGAAATTCCCAAATACTACTGAATACTGAATACTTGGGAATTTCAAATTGTATAATTTATAAAATGAACTGAAAACATTTGTTATACAAACTCTTTGTGCTGGAAAATTATGTAAGGTGTTGATTTTCTCACTGGTTATCCATTCCAGTTGTAATTTTGAACTTTGATTTAGTATTTGAATTTGACAGCTTTCAATAAAGTTTAATTAAAACTCCAAAGTATTCAAAAAAGAAGAAATGGCCCATTAATCAGACTAATAAGTTTTGATGATTTGGAAAGTTACAAAGAAAAGGAAAATTTAAGTCGTTGACTTTTGACATAATTTGGGATTTTTTCTAAAAGACAATATTATAAATGGCAAAATAATAAAGTAATAAGATAAATTTAACTAAATAAGATCGAAAACATTAGTTCAAAGATCACCAAGTTCTTTTGATAGAACAGAAAAACAACTTTAAAAATACATACTATTTAAATAGTATTAAATCTGCTTTTTGTTATTGAGTTAATTATAGTAGAACATCCAGTTTTTCCAGTAATTAACGAACAAAACCAAATTTACCATATCATTTCTGGATTTACCACATCATGGATGGAAAATGTTTTGTGAATCGACAGTACATGTAAAGAAGCCAACGCTTAAATATAAATTTTTCCACTATATAAATATTTTGGAAAAATATCTATTTGCTATATAAACATTTTTTATAGCAATGCATGTTACATTTTAAGTATAAAAAACTTTTAGAAAAATGTATACAACATCAAAGAAGTTCATTTTATCACAGTAAAAACTTGCATTAATATCATGCTCTACACAGATGCATAATTACATTTTGAGCACAAATGCCTAATTGCAAAACTTACATATGTGATTTATTAATGGAATCACTCTGCCACAAATATTTAATTCACTGCAGTTGAATGGTGTGTGCATAAGGAATGAAGGAAGAAGGATTTACATGGAGATAATTTACTCAATTATAAATCAAAAGAAAGAAGAGAGATGGAATAACCTTTAAAAACAGGAAAAAATCTCCTGATCCAAGAAGATAATCTGCTACAAGAATATCTGTAAATGTTACTTATGGAAAAAAGACAATAGAAAGAGTCAAGTATCATTTATTTAGATTTTCTATAATTTTCTTTACGTTAACTATATATTGAATTTTTTATATTAAAATCTATAATCTTTCCTTTTCTTAAATCTAAGTTAATGTATAAAATATTATATAATTTATGAAATGAAACATTTAACAGTTCAAAAAGTATAATTATTTTATAAATTAAGCATGTTGGTGTGTATGACATTCTCCTTGTCACAGTTTCAACCTTTGTCACTCTTGTTATGTCTACTCTTTCACTGCACAAACTATATGTCAGATGAAAGGGAAGGTTAACACATGGATCCAATCTCTTTCAGCTGTTTCATTTTTATTCAATCTTATCATAATATTCTTTTATTACTTACTCTTAGTTCTAATATTAATTACATGTCTCCTTTCGTGTCTACTCGTTCACTGCACGGACTATAGTTAGCAAAACTATAATTTAATTTTTATTTATTAATTAATTAACTAACAAGAGTGACAGAGAACTTTGTCGATAACCTTATTCAAACATTATACACACTGATCAGATTTCACTGTAGTATATTGTACTTTTAAGGATAGAATATATATAGTCTGAATATGTTAAAAATTAATAAATTCTACCTCTAAATCTAAAATTGAATAAAATATAGTAATATTTATATACAATAGGCTCTCTATCATCCAGAATCAGATTAATTGAATGTTTAAAAAGGGATGTATATGTCCCAAAATTCAAATGGCATTAGATTGCATACAGAGAAATATTTTTTACTGGATGATACTTGTACAGAATTGCATAATCTTACAATACCACAAGTCAATTTTATGATAATATTCTAAAATTCAATACTTTCATTTGTTTAATATGGATTAGCTGTTATTTACAGTTATCTAGAATAAATTTTTAATTAACTTTCTGAATAATAGAGCATCTACTGTACTTCATAATCATAAATACTGATGTTTTTGAATCATACCGAATAGGACGATAAATCGAAACGAATATACAAAATCATTATACGTATGATAATATCAGTGAATAATCTTCATAAAATAAATAAAATCTTAAGTTATTTAAATATAAAACAAATATAAAAATTATCACCGGAATATATCTTTACTAAATATTATTGTCTTAATATTTATTTAAAATAGAAAATCCATATCTGATATTATCATAAAAAATATATACTGTATAATCTAATACTGTATACAATGACTAGTTTCATTGTTTGTCAAAAGTGATTTAGTATTAAAGTAAAAATTAATTATCAAAGTAAATTCTTAGAAAGGGAGAGATTGTTCCCAAATGCGATATCAAACTTTAACGTTATTTAGAGGCATTTCCGAAGAACATTTCTTCAAAGGGAACGAAAATGCAAGTTTTCCTCCTTGGGATCTACAGCGGCAAACTTCTTCTGCTATGCTATTAATTATCACTTCTTTGTTGTTTAAGACATTATACTCCATTAATTTTGAGATTCTTTCGAACTGACGATAAGTATATTTGAAATTGTAAATGGAAAACGATTCCTTCGAATCGCCAAATATCTGGAAGTCGGCAAATTCCTTTTCTTCTTCCGTCTCTCTCAAAATTCCTGCAAAAAAATAATTTTTTCTTGTTTTTAAATTTATTACTACTTTTAATATTTTGAATAATATATTTATTAATCAATAATATCATTACAAAGGAGATTAAATAAAAAGTTTGTTTACAAGGAGTAGATTTGCAAGTCCGGCAAAGAGTTTCAAATGTTCTCGATTCCATAGCAAACAAACGTTCAAAATTTAGATGTTTCTCGTAACGTGTAGCTCAACAGACCTTCATTCTGACAATCCACTTAATGATAGTTTTGGAATTGAAATTATAGTACTTTGTTACTTGCAAGCATAGAAAAACTTAGTATGTGCAAATGAAAATATGATGCTAAACAATGAGAGAGATTACATAATGTTAGGTATAAAAATTGTAGCAATTATGTAATCATTTTTTAATGAAACTGATTTTTTTTAATTTTAGTAGTAGTTACCATAATTTTAAAGACATTTTAATGAACTAAATTATATATAGTAGTATTGTTATCACATTCAGAATAGTGTATAACTTGAAATTAATTTATTATTACATAGGATAAACATGAGAGAAATACGTTGTACATTTTATTATTATTATTATTATTGATAGAAAATTACATGCTCTACATGTTTCAAGCATAGCTCCACTCACTGAGAACACGACACAATACATACATGAACAATAAACTTTGGTGTATTGTATGTGTGTATGTAACTTTCTTCTGGGCCACTATGTATTTATAAACATTTATAAGTGAATTCGGCTATATAATAGTTAATTGAAAAATTTTGTACAACAAAAGATGCGCATGTCCAAAACTTAAGGACAGATTGTAGATGAAGAACTGTATTACTTGACATCTAACATAGGGTAATACAACAACAACATGTAGGATTTTACAAATCAAGGCAATAAAAGTAAGTCTTTGGTGAAAGATACACAAAACAGTTGGACATAGGTGGAAAATGGTGGAAAGTGCTTACCAATACCCAGGCAGAGAGACCTATCAGTATGGAATATGTCCATCTTGAATTGAAATTCAATACTCATAACATTGTGGCAGGTTCTTTACCAGTTGTCTCAGTAACTTTTTCTAGCTATCACCACTAGCAATTGTCTTCATCTTTAAGTTTTGGACATGTATATGATATGAATTATTTCTGAAAATTGATTAAAAAAGATAGAAATATGACATAGTGAAATCGATTCCTCACAATTTCACTATGAAGGATTGAAAAATATTGCTTCCGCAGTACTAATGAATTTGAAGTGCTATTCAAAACATTGAATTTGTAAAATTTTAAGGAATAGGTATATGTTATTTTAAAGTAAATGGCCATCGTGTTCAATAATAATAAAGAAACTCAAATAATACTAAAATATCAAGTTTTTCTTTTGCTATTCATCAATTTACAATAGATTGAGCATCAATTATTGAAAATAATTGGAGCAGGACGCTTGGATGACCAATTGCACTTATAGGGAAGGAATAAAGTAAAAGTATTAATTTTAATTCTAGTACAATAGTAAAAAATAGGTTAAGGCATAGAAATTTAATACACATGAATGATAAGAAATAACAAAAATAATTGTCTAATCTATTAATAGCAAGCACTAGTCTTTCATTGCAATCTAAAATGTACTGATAAAACTTTGAATTCAAATAAAAAATACATAACTGTAAAATTAATACAGTCAAACCTGTCTATAACAGAACCTGTATACAGCGAAAATCTGTCATTATTAGAAAATTTCTTAGGTCCCTTGAATTTTTTGCAAAAATTAATGTAAATTAACCTGTCTAATATGTAAACATAAAGGAAAATCAGGTTATATAATTGAAAAATTGACATCTTTATCCGATTTAACACAAATTTAACAACACATTTACAACCCTAGCATGTATAAATCATAAAAAAAAGTCAAAAAATATACATATGCAATACAGAATAGCAAAATATGACTAATGTATTACAGTAATTTTATTGGGATTTGAACAGAAACTTTTTGCCTATTTTTATTAACAGTTACTATTTTAATTAACATGAATATGTGATGTTATTGTAAGTTGTGAAATTTAACACATTATTCATGAAGTGAGATTAAAATAAACTTGAATACAAAGTTTTTTACATCACATTTCATTTGAATAAAATGAATTCAAAATGTCTGCAGATAAAATGCACATCGGGCATATTATGCATGCTTTTTAACTTTTGTAAAAGATATTACGCTATACAAACAGTAAAAAATATTCATACCGTGTACGGGGAAGATGCTTCTAAACTCCAAATGAGTCAAATGCAGTTTTGAAAGTTTTGTTCGGGAAATTTTGAACTAAAGGATACAAAATGTACGGGTCCCCAAAAGCTGTTGAAGAGAAATTGCAGGAAGAAATTGTTAAAAGAGTGACGAATAATAACTCATGAATTTGCAACAAATCTTAGTATGTCACAGACATGTATTGTTGGAACATTTCATCCATTTGAAATGGTTGTAAAACATGCAGTTTGTTTTTTTTTTTTTTCACTTATGAAAAACAAAAACAGAAATTTATACTCAATTCAGTTCTTTTATCCTTGTCTACTTGGACCTTGTATAGTAATAGGACTTATTATACTCGTATGGTTTCTGATAGCAAATAGAGGAGATCTTCGTCAAAAGTCAAAATGAAATATCAGGTTTGACTGTAATAACAGGTGAAAATAAAGATATTTTGTTTTTGACTAAGATCTCCTTTATTTGCTAATCGGAATCTACACCAGTATAATAAGTCCTATTACTAAACAAGGTCCAAGTAGACAAGGATATAAATAAAAATTGATAAAAGAGTAAGGACAGAGGTAAAAAAGAGTGAATTGAGTATAATTTTGTCTGACGAAGGGAGGCAGCTGTAAGGTATGATTTTATTTTTAAACTGGTTACTCATTTTTATCTTTGAGAACCTTTTTACGGATTAATGAAAAAATTAAAGTTAAAATAAAAATATTTGTTATTAACTGAAAATTTGTTCTAGCAGGTGGCGATTGTTCAGTTGAGAACCGAGATACCACTGTATTCAATTAATGTGATTTCAATATATGTGGTAATATCGAGAAATTTATTAATTGCATTAATCAAGGGATACCTATAGTAGGTATCCCTTGTATATATAGCAGAAACCTGTCTACTATGGAAGAGTTGTTTGGTCCCTTGGGGTTCTGTTATAGACAGGTTTGACTGTAATAACAAAATAGCCAAATGGGGTGGTGGGGTCCTTTAGAAGATCGTCAACAATTGTTCTTAATACTCACTAATGTCATTTGGTTATTTTATTTTTCAAATAATTGACATCCCCCTGTACTTGATTACAATAATTTAATATGCTAATACATATAAAATACATACCGGGTTCTTTAAATTCTCTAAAACTTGAATTAACTAATGGAAAATATAAAATAGTAGGACAGTTTGTATCAGTGGGATGTTTAAATATGTAGCATTCTTGCAACGGTTGATTTTTGTACTCCACAATAAGCTCCGAAATTGGAGGAAATGGACAGTTGTTGGCGTTTGCCCAACATTCCGACAACAGTAATTCCTGCAAAGATAAAATTTTGAATAATTGAATAAACAAGTATATACAAGTATTTACAATTATTAAGAAATAAAAGAAAATCCAAGAATTTATATAATCCATATTTATATAATAAAGACATATTTATATAATCCAGATTTCTATGATAAATTCAAGTAATATCAACGAGGTGAAAATAATATAAAATTAATCTCCTCAAACTAATTCAAAACTACAATAAAATAATTCAATTTATTATTATTTTCTCTTTCTGAAAAATTTTTTACTGATGAAATTATTACTTGATTTATTTACTTCGCAAGAAATAAATTTAATATACACTCATTGCCATAAAAATTAGCACACAAAGAAGGAGTTGCCGTATTGCTGCAAAACTTGGCATGTGAAAATGATTAGTTATAGTGTGATGGCTCGTTGCATAATGCCAGCAGAGGGTGTTAAAATGCATCCTCTTGATCTAAAAAAAATAATGCAAAGACATCCTATCTATAGTTTACCTGTTGCAGTGGGATGCTGTATCATTAGAGATACCTTTACATCAGAATGGAATGGAACCGAGTCATCTACAGCAATGAATCCAGATTCAGTTTTGGCACTGACTATTGCTGTGTTGCTGTCTGGGGCCCCCATGATGAATGCCTCAATCCTGCCTACATTTTGAAGCAGTACACCATCCCCCAGCTTGTGTGATGGTCTGGGGTGCCATCATATACAACAGCCAGTCACCTCTAGTGGTAATCCAAGAAACTATGACAACCCAGCAGTATATTAGTGACAGGCAAATTTATTGCCTCTCATGGCAAGGCTTCCAAGAATCATTTTCCAATAGGGCAATGCTCAACCACACACAGCAAGTGTATCATAGGACTACCTCCGTCACATTTACCACACTTCTCTGATTTGACACCAATCAAAACATGTCTGGTATCATCTGGGATGCCAAGTTAGACAGCCTAGGAGTTTGGTTGAACTGCGACATATGACATCTGTATGCCTCCATGCTCACCAGTATCACATCATGTATTCATGCTAGAGATGGCCCAACAGGGTACTATAACTTTTATTTGTAGTTTTTCCTGCAATAAATGATCCTTTGGCTTTCATTTTGTAATCACTTCTATCACTGTTACACTCACACATGTACTATACTGTACTGTACAATTTCTTTTGATTCTGACTGACAACTCCTTCTTGGAGTACTAATTTTTATGGCAGTGAGTGTATGAATAGCTTTTTGTTGATCATGCTTTTTAAAATTGGGGATGGGGTTGCTTCTACTCCATCTCCCAATCTAAAATGCACTTACACACACACAAACAAACAATTAAGTTCTACATTTGGATATATTTATTGAGTTTTAAGGTGGGGGATGGTCATCATTAGAATGCACTGTTATCAGATTTAAAAAGCCAAAACTTCGATGACATATTTATCTAAATTAGAAATGCATTAAATTTGAGGTTGTGATACAAAGCAAGTTAAAAGTACTTAAAAATGACCATGTTTTGCTTTAACTTATGAACCTATTTGCTCTACACTAGTGGTCTGGAACATAGGCTGCTGTATTAGTGAGTTAAGCCGGAATTGAATACGTAAGATATTAGAAAATATCCTACATATTGAATTCCAATGATGCTAATCTGATTTAATAAACTTTTTGAAAAATTAATATTGTATTTTTATTCATATTTATCCAGAAAATGGATATAATACATTATAAAGCACCATGTATTTGTTTAACTGCACTCATCTCATATTTGATTACTTTCTATCTAGTGAAATAAAACCAAAACATGAAAAATTTTTGAATATAAAAATAAACTAACTCCACCTAGTAAAGTTATATATACAGGGTGAGCCAACAAAAATGAAAACGGCAGAGTTATCGTGTTCGTCCAAGCAAATTGCTCGGACAGGTCAATTTTATTCTCAAGGGGGACATCTGCAATAAAATTTTTGCAACAGACAACAAAAAATTTTAAAAACTCATTCATTTTTTTCCAAAATAAATGTTTGTTTAGCTAATAAAAAATGAACGAGTTTTTAAAATTTTTTGTTGTCTGTTGTATTCAGAATCGCAAAAACTTTATTGCAGAAGATGTCCCCCTTGAGAATAAAATCGACCTATCCGAGCGATTTGCTTGGACAAATACGATAACTCTGCCATTTCGTTTTCGTTGGCCCACCCTGTATATACTGAATACTTCTGTATACTGACCATACTGTAATTTCTGTGTTACATGTAATAAATCAATTTATCATATATAATAATAAAAACCAAGAACATTTTTCCAGCATATGTTTAATTACTGATAAATGTTTTTGGCTCCATTTAGAGGCTTGCTTCGGGTCTACTCGAGAACTTTCTTGTGTAGACCCGAAGCAAGCTTCTAAACAGTTTTGTTGGTTTAAATTAGTTTTATGTCATAGTGCTCCATCATCACATCACTATTTATGAAAGAAATCAAAAATGTTTAATGCTGTATTTATATTTTAACAGTTTCTCATCTAATATTCTAACATAAAACACTAACTTAGTCTTCTTTGAGAATATTATGGTAATAATGGAGTGTATAACAAGTCAGGAGAGTTAAAAAAAATAATATTAAATTGTTGCAGGATTTTGAATTTGAATTTTACATAATAATAGACCAAGAATATGATACTTGTTTTTCATAATATGACTTTTAATGATTTTCTTTCTGTGTCTGGAGACAGAATCTGTATTTAAAATTTTAATTAAGAATCTAGAAATTGATTTATGCAATTCAAAGCATATAAAAAAGAAAAACATGTGTGGTAAAATCAAGGGAACTTCATTTCAGAAGACAGTATTGAGCTGAGATGCTGTAGCATCAGGCTTGTGATCATTTCCACAGTTTTATCTGTATCACTTAATTAATAAAAACTGATTAATCAAGATAGTAATTTTTAATGTTAATTTAACATCATTATTATTCATGTTGTTCATATTTGATTTTGATTCACTACTTCTAAACTTCTTTACTATTAGTTAAACAACATAGCAACAAAAAAAGCCGCTTACTTTAAAAGATGGAATATTTTCGTCTTCTCTACTGCTGAAATCAAACGCCAAATAAAATGTGACACCTCGCTGCGGTCGTTGTAAGAGAGGAAAAGGGAAATTAAACGTTAAGCCGCCATCCACGAGATATAATGTTTTTGTCGTCGTAGGAATGAGTTCTTTTAAACCTTTGAATAGTTCGTCTAAAAATAAAATTACACATTGTTAATTGGTTAATTTAAATCCCATCCTTCTGTTTTTATTTACCACAAAAAATAATCCGGTTAAAATTATTACAACTATATTACCCTTCCAAAATATTGTAACAGAGTCATCATCATCTACTGTATTCCTCAGTATATTGCAATATTAAATATTTTCAAGCAAATTGGATTAACTTCACTTTACCAACAATATCACAAAAGCATGAATTTACATAAAGCATATTTCCAAAATGAATTTATATTGTGGAATCAAAAAGATCGATAAATGATCAGAACATCTCATTAAATATAAAAGCGAAAACGGTATTACATAATTTTTCTCTTTCTCTTGCTTACATAAAATTCTGATTGCAAAAAATCAGAGTTTTGCAAACTTTATGTGATACATTTTCACAGAGATTAGTGTATTATGCCTAGTAAACACAAAATCAATTTCCATTGTATCAAATTATTTTTATACCAATTGATTCAGCACGTCAGATTAAATCTAGACACGTCTATGTCTATTTGTTAATATTATGGCTGAGACCATTTTTTTTTAGCTGGAGACCTTTTCATCAGCCTAACCCTATTTTTGTAGAGGGTGTGCAAAAAGTTACTGCGCAATGAAAAAGGTTTAAGTAAAGTTTTACATAAGACATTGCAGTTTCTTCTATAGCAAATGTTGGAAATGTCCCCTAGAAGTCCCAAAATTTAGAGAGCAAGATCCAGAAACTTAGCAGGCATGAGAAATTATGAGATCAGCAAGAAGTCCACCAAAAACTAGAACATCTGTGAGCAAGCAATAATGCCATCTACCGCAAAGTGGAGACGTGGGACATAACTTTACAGGTCTCGTATGCTACGCCATATGTATAACTTTCACATCATTGCAAATTTTTCACTTCACAGTAACATTTTGGGCACTCTATAAATTTGGGCTTCTCTTAAAAGAAATATCCATATACTTCTAATTTTTCTAAACTGAACTAATAAATAATACTCAATTCAAGTATTTTATATATATATAATATACATACCATCACTTGGAGATGTTGGAGAGAATGGAGAAAATGGAAAACAATTCACTAAAGACAGGCCTCTTAATGGATTTAAAATTAATCCAGCTCTTCCTTTTCTGGTGTCTAACACGGAACTGGTACATATATTATCAATAAATTGCTGCCAGAACGATTTTTGTACCTGGTTGATTAGTGAAGTTTCATTTTCTCTGGAATAAAATAAAATTTATTTACAAAATTATTAATTATAAATTGATAGAAACAAAATTGTATTAATAAATTTGATAAAACATACATTATAAATATACAAAATTATAATTAAAAAAAGTCCTAATCCTAATTAAATGAATAAACACTGGCTAATTTCATGTGAGAACATAATCCAAACTATTGTTAATGGATCCTAACTAAAATCAATGAACCCTAAGTCTACAAAAAGCCAAGGTAGCAAACCTATGAAGGGATGTGTGTGCTGCCAGACTCTAATGGAGGAAGAATACATAGTGGGACACATTTGGATACCAATGCATTAGTCAGATCACGCAAAGAATTGCTTGGAAGAAGAATGGAAGACTAAGGATAATAATGAGCCAATGGTGGATGAAACCCCAGAATGATCAAAAGGAATCACTATTACTGGTAATAAGCATTTCTAACTCCCTCTTTCTGTGAATTGACTGAAATCACATTGTATAAAAATTGTGTGGTGTAACATGTATATGGTATATATGGAAAGTATAAGTCTTCCCATGAATGATTAATAAAATTATTTTTTTATTAATAGTTGCTAATCAAGGTCACTTGTCACTTTCCATCCAAATCCTTGCATCAGTGAGAAACCTTTTAAAAAGGTATATTGAGAAAATTATTAATTATTATAGTGAGCCTCAAGGGTTAATAAAAAAAAAGTTTTATTTTTTGATCTGCTTTTATGAGCATACGAGGGTCGTTCAATAAGTCCTTAGAAAAAGATAGAAAAACAAATTATTTTAGGTAGATTTTTTTTAAACATAATCTCCTTTAAGCTCTATACACTTTTCCAAGTGTTTCTCTAACATTTTTAAGCCATTCATTCGTTTTACTAAGATACCATAGTGATACATGCCCGGTACCGCATAACCGGGTAGTAATACAGATTAATACAATGGTTTACAGTATATGAGGAGATACATGAGATATATAATGAAATATAATTGAGATAACCTAAAATAAAAGTAGTAATAATAATAAAGAAAAGAAATAGTAAACAGATACAAATACCAAAGTTACAAAAATGCAATAGTAGCAGGATACAGTAAGTTGTTATAAAATATAAGGCCCGAGATGAGGAGGTTACATTACACGAACTTGACAATTGGGTGCATGTTAAGTAAATTACACGGTATACAGTGTAAAATAAAGGTAACAGTATAATAAAGTTACATAAACAGAGGTTCTGCGGGACAATTACAATTTGAATCCTAAGGCACATAGTTGTATTGGCATTGTTTCTCTGTTTTAGCTCACTGGTACATGGGGCATTCCCTACTCATTGCATTGTGGTCCACTGTAGGCAGTTTTTTCTTCTTGCAGTTGGAGCAAGTTGCTGTTTGTTTCTTCTTGGCACAGTCTTTCTGGTGGTGATCCCCTCCCCAGTTACTACAAGTGCACACTGATGATTCACAATCTCTAGTGTAATGGCCAAAAAAGAGACACTTAAAACACTGGGCCACTGGAATATAATCATAAATTGGGTACATTTGCCAATGAATACCGAGTCTCCTTTCTTTAAACATTATTTTTCTGATGTCTGGTTCAACTGCCAGAATCCATTACTCAAGTTCAGGGACCCATTGTTTCATAGAAAACCTTACAGTCACTTTCTGATCAAATTTTTCCTTAGTGTAGCCAATCTCAAGGTCTACATTTTGTGTATATACAGGATGCATAGGAAAGTCCCTTTAACCGGAAAATTCTTGCGAATGGAGAGAGCTACAGCAATGCAAGTGAGGTAATGGTATAGTAAAGTGACTATGCCCGACTTAATGCAAACGACAGCAGCGCCCCTAGTGGCGAAATTTGGAAGATAGGCAGTGCAAATCGAAAACGAAAACAGATAGAGCAAACTTTCCAATTAGAAAGTTTTAGAGCATCAATTAATTACTATGGAATGACATGTGGTTCACATGGATAAGATAAATTGTCTGTATACCCAAAAATGTCCGAAAGCGATGCACGCCATTTTCTGTAAATGTTTGAAAGGAATAGCCATAGGTATGAAGAAATATGCACAATTTATTGCATAAAATACAGTACATACTTACATCAAAACAGTTTTATAACAACGGCATGTATTGTGAGCAATGGCAAACTTTTCGAACATACTCGACATTAACTCGAGTTTTATATAGATTTTGTTGACTAATTACCACCTATCAAAAGTGGAAAATCTTACATGCATCAAAGTTTCAACATTAGTGATATTCTTTTCCTTATATCCCCATTATAATCATAAAAGCTTGAAATCTGGTGGGGTAACTCCTATATATATAGGGTATTCGTGCCATTGAATTTTGGAAGGGATTGAGGAGTTACGATAGAACTGGAGTAATACTGTGAGTGAAATCAATTATGAATACATTACTCCTAAGAGTTTTCAACTTAAAATAATAATTCTGATCGAGAATTTTTCAGTCATCCCTATCCCAAAAGTTTAATTTTTATAATGTTTTATCTAAAACTGTTTATGTGTAGCACTTATGTTACCAATTTTTTGGTCAGATGCACCAACTGGAAGAAATATTAAGGAATTGGGACCATATTTCACATGCAGTTGTGCCTGAGCTTTACTGATCATAATCATATTTCATCACATTTTTATGTTTTCCTTCAAATTTAACATGCGCACAAGCGTGATCGTGTTGAAATAAATTACAGATGCACCCCAAAAATTGGGAAACTTTCCCTTCTAAGTTAAATCTGATTATATTTTAATACTTTTTAGAAAAAATATTAAAATATAAATGTGAAGAATCATGATGATCCAGATTGATTCAAATCTAAATCTACTGTAGCAAGACTCATCATAATAAACCATTTGGTCAATGCAGATAGCATCAGGCATTAAATATTTATTTTTAAAATACAAATATACAATACTTATTCCTAGTAGAAATTGTACATATTTTAAAATAATTCTCAATCAAATATATATTACAATCTCGGTTAGGTCTATAAACCACGATTGATTTATTTAGCCAAATTATAACCCAATAATTTTTGTTAATTTATTAAATATTTATTATGTTAAAACAGTAAATATAAATAATTCATACTTATCAATTTCACAATCGCTATCAGAACTGTTTCCAGTATCGTTCTCGTCTTCACTTTCTTCAAAACACATATTTTCTACAAATATTTTTAGATCATAAGATGGCTCTCTATAAATTATCAGAATTTCCAGTTATAATGAAATATCAACATAAAATACCAGCTGTACATCTTAATTGTTCCTCTTCCATTCCTGGTTCCGGGTATTCATCCTTTTCTTCACTTGAATTGTTTCCTAATAGTAATGATAATCTTGTTTTATCTTGAATTAATCTTTTGAAAAGGATACAAAAGGCACTTCCCCAAACACCTATAATGACATAAATTTAAGTAAATATAATATAATATATAAATTATTACTTAAGTAATAATCAAGTAACTGAACATAACTAGATTTCATTCATGCTATTTACATGATAGAAATTAATTTATTTTAGAAATATCGTAAATATATTCTAGAGGTAGATGAAGTTATTACTTTGTAAAAATTTTAATTAGTTCCAGATTTTGTCTAGAACTGTAATCAAAATAAATAATTTCTATACTACAAACAACCAAGAAAAATCTGACAATGTTTGATTATTTGATTTGATATCAATTCTAGAAACTGTACATTAATAACTGAATTCAATCAATTGTTATTCAAATTATTGTATATACATTGCTATAATATATTAAAATAAACATTAACCTTGCAAATAATGTAAAGGACATTCTTCATACTTCTTCACTATTCTCCCTTTGTAGAACTTGCAACCAAAATGTTCCGTCTTCATAAAAGTTCCATATTTTGCAATGCCAATTTCATAGGGTGAAAATTCGAGCCATTCTTTATGAAAAAGATAAATTTAGATTAACAAGAAAAAATTTTATTTAGTATCCAACTTTACTTTTATTTAGTTAGGAAAAGACTTAACACTCCTGTCAAAGTTAAGTTAAATTCTAAGTTACTGGTGTGAGATGTGAAAGGGTTTTTGTTAGCCCACTAAGGCAAACATGCACAATAAATGTTAAAAAAAACCATTTTATTTTACATGATATATCCATGTACAGGATTGGTAATAGATGACAACTTTAGGACTAAGATAGTAACCCAAAACACAACTGTCAGCTAAATAATTACAGAATATCACAACACATACCAAGGACTCAAGATTACTCATTACCCAAAAATCTCCTTATAACTAATCCTTAAAACTAACTTACACTAAAGGAAAGCAGAAAACAGATTATTGGGGTGAAAAGTATCAAAGATGACAGAAAGAATAAAGAACTCAGGTTGTATGAACATTTTTCTGCTGTCGTGAGAGACCACATGCAAACTTCCTTGGGCACAATTCACACTTCCATTCACTTTTTCTTAGTCCAAGATGGTTTCTATAAATTTCTAATCCAAGTCATCATTCGTCTGTCTGAGCCCGAAATTCATCAAGTTGAGACACCCACTTCAACACTGTAATGTTGGTCTAAGAAGTTCAGGAGTCTCTCTTCCCCAAATTGGCTTCACCCATCTCTCAGATATGTGGCAACTCTCCCTACTCTCCTGTTCGTCCTCTCACTACAAGGACCAGCCAAAAAAGTGACTATTTCTCCCCACGTGTTCCCTCAAGAAACTTCTCATTCATTGACAGTTCCAGAAAGTAGGCCTCACTTCCAAGGGGGAAGAATAATTAAGAAGATTACAAGGGACTAGAAGGTGGAAAAAACAAAGAAGATATGCTAAAGACTACAAACTAAATCTAAAATATAATTTTGCATATAGCCACACTGGAAAACTACAAGGAAATGTGCTGTCATTTAGAGTGTACCATGGCACTAACAGAATTTTGCATAACATACCTAATTTTGATTAAAATTTTATTTATCCTGGCAATTTTTAATTTACAAAAAGATCATGGAACTGTTAATTTCCTCGTGTGTGCGAAAGGACAAAGCGAGAAGACACCTTTATGTAGTGTCTCCTTTAAGAATTTTCTTAAATTTTGTAAATTTAAAATATGTAGTTTTGTTTTCTCTAACCAAAAGTTTGATAACAAAAGAATTAAAGAAAATTTATAGAAAATAGCTACTAAAATTTATTACAGTTGAATATTTAACAAGAAAAGTGTATCAATACTAACTGTTACATAAGAAAGAAATGTAAAAGAGCACAGGCAGCTAAAATTATTGTGTCATCACTTGTAGCTATAATAGATGAATAAAAGTATTGGTAAGGGATGATGGAATTTTCTAAACAAATGAAGATTTATAGTTGTGTTTCGAGTGATGCAGTCCAAAAAGAATGGATGGGTTCTTGTAACGGCTTGTTAAAACTTGGTTTCAAATTGGGTTTAAAATTATTTAGTGTCTTTTGTGTGTCGACAAAAAATTTTAACTAAATCTTTTTTATTTGTTAATAGATATTTTGGTTGAATTTTATAAACAATTCGTTATTCTAAATTTATCTCTGACCTATTTGTAAATTTACTATTTTACTATTAAATATTATATTATTAAATTGTTACAACTGCAGTGCTGGTATTTTTCAGCTGGTTAATATAGAAAATAAGCAGTGATTGTACTCAAAAATCAGTCTATATATAGCATTTTAGTGATTCTGGATTGTACAAATTACTGTTAGAAGTGAAGGTGACCTAATTATTTTGAATATTTTTTGTGTGTCCTTGTGCTCTAAATCAAAATCAGATATAAATTTTTAATATTCATAGTATATCCAGGAATGGCTCTATATTTAATAGTTTAATAATAAAATTGAAAAGGTCATCATTACCGTATAAATTTAATGAACTTTTATCTTAGTATTGTTGCTAAATTTAATAATCTTGAACTAATTCTTTAATAAAAAACTTCATTTCATATCAAAGAAAATCAGATTTTAATGAAAGTTTTGTTTATAAATTTAATTTTAATATTAATAAAATGTAATAAAATGAATTCAACTACTCAAAATTCTAAAAAGATTGTAAACTTCTTGTACTATTTATTTTATAAATCAATTTTTTTCTTAATTTTTCTAAATTAGATAAAGATTTATAAAATGATATAATCAAACAATTATTTTTCTTTACAAAATGTCAGCACTACGTTCATAGATTCTGTTAACAGTGGTTTATAAATGCTAGATATTTTTACTGATTTGTATTTTAAAAGCTATTTACCTTGAAAAACTCTAGCTGATACATTGCTTTTAACATGAAGGCAAGTATAAAAAGGCATTGGTAATTGTCCGTCTTCAATTTTTGTTTGTTGGTGTGACAAACAACAGTCAGTTCTCTAAAATAATATAAATAATTTTAATATCAATATATAATTAAAAACAATAATATTTAAACTTTAATAACACTAATTAGTTTTAATAAAAAATGAATACCATAGTTATTTGAGGCATGTGGCTAATCAAGTTCTGATGCTAATTCAAGGAAATATGGTAATTAAAATTTTGTTAATTCATATTCTTTTTCACAAACTATTACATAAAAAATATTCTTTTTTTTTTTATCTTAACTTCTTCAGTAATATCTGAAAACACTTCTGTCGCATGGCATCTAACAGATGCCAAAATCCCTTAGTTAGTCTTTCATTTTAAATTACACAAGCACAACAGAGCTAAATTACAGTCGACTCCCCTATAATGTACGTTCCTATAACGACAATTCCTATAACGTAGCGAAAAAATTGTAGCAACTTTCGTATAAAATACCTCCTATAACGTCGTTTCGCGACAAGATTGATAGAATCTGGACCAATAGTGGATGAGCAGCCGAACTACTTACCTCCGACCCTGCGCCACGCTACGGAGCGGCTAAATTGAGTTTGCTATCGTCTGTATAGTATTATATATAAATTAGGTACTGTACATATAATTATATATTAATTATATATAAATTAGGTACTGTATATATAATTATATATTAACTTAATTTATTGTAACTTTATTATAATTATATATATGCTTTCTGCCGCCTGGCAACACGCTACGGAGATTTTAGGCTAGTAAGTTGAGTTTATTATCGTCTGTACAGTATGTAAATTAGGTACCGTAAGTCTAATACAGCACTAATTTTATACATTTCTTGTGAAAGAAACACTTCTTATTCAACGGCCATAAAAATTATTTATATTAATGATGTCTGCAAAGGTCAAGTTATTTTTCTGCGAAAAATTCGTTATTAGAAATCACGGCCGCCGTTTCACGTGCTGTTCCGCAACGAAAACCAGCTTTAAGCAACGGCGTAGTCGAACGGTACACACTCGGTAAGTAATCCTATAATTTTTTGTTTATAGCATAGTTTATACGGATTACTCCCAAAAAATTATACGTGTTTTGCAAATGTTGAGTGGAATTAGTCTAGAATCGGTTAATTTTATAGAAGAAAACCTTTCGAACAGCCTTAGTCCGTAAAGTTCCCACCTATCGGGCTGCGATTGGCTCATGTATTTAAACATTCCTACAACGTAAAATTCGATTAGCGTGGAACGTATCTAAGCGTTATAGGGGGGGTCTAATGTACTTATTAAAATTTATTTATTGACCTCTTAAATGTTTGCTATTACGAATATTTGTATAGTGATGCAATGGAATTAGTAACAGAGAAATAAGATACATGGCACTAGGGATCACTAATTATGATGTATTACAATGAACCTAAGGCATACCCTATTTTTACAGATACTAAAACCTAAAAAAGTTATCTTGTATTCAAGCAATTATGGTAGATTATTTAAAAGAATTTAGTAAATTTTATTTTCTGAGTATTCTTTTTTTTTTTTTATAATGTGAGCCTGAGGGTTTACAGGGCGTAAATTTTTCAGTTTAACATTTATCGCAAGTTGTAACGGAAATAGAGAGGATGTCAAATTTTACACATCCACAAGGTAGGAAGGAAGAAAGACAAGTCATTGTCCGTTTGTTAATTAGTCAACGTGAACGTACTAATTAGTCGTCATAACGAATGAACGACCTGTTGGCTCAGTGCCAACGACGATCATATAAAAGCGATCGTCACAGGAAGTTCAGGGTAATCGCCCCTCAGTGCAATCGTCCCTCCGCGCGATCATCTGGAAGGTCTGAGTACAGTGTCTCCCGTCCCGGTCCTGTCCGTGGAGAAGCCGGTAGAAGACATAAGCCTGTGACAGCCAGCCAGCTTCCATAGTCCAGAATGATCATCGCATACCATCATCCAACATAAGGTATACCTGACCGCCAATATAACTCTCTCACTTTAGAGCCTTTGTAAATTCTCTCCTGCGGCATAGTGACTAGTTAGATCGCCATTATAGATAGATTTGTGTTATCCACATTTAAGCATTAAGTCTGTAACTTCCTTATGTATACTCCTGTAAATTAACTTTAGTTATAGAATAAACCTTTATTTTGTTATTTGTTTAACCTGTCTCCTGTCTATCCGAGGAAACCTGTTGACTTACTGACGCACTCCCCACTTGTTTTGCCCTCCTAGCCATCCGAACGACTCCGAGATCGGGCTTCACCAGCCTGTGCAGATTAAGTGGTCAGTACCAGATTAACCCCTGACCCACTGCTTATCTCACAATAACAATGATATTATTTCTTTATTTTATATACGTTAATATTACTTACTTCTTTTAATAATGTATCTCCTAATAAATGACCAAAAAAGTCTGTGAAGCTAATAGGTTGACCCCTTCGACGTTTGGCCAAAATATTAGTGATATAACGATAGAGACTTCTAGGACCAAGCAACCAAAATGGACTTTGACTGATGCTGCTTTTTAATTCTTCTTGCAGATCACCAGGTGATTTTTCAGGAAAATCAGGATGTGAATAAAGAGTTGATATGTACCTAAAAATAAGTGTTATTTAATGTTAGCTAAAATATAATTTGACAAATTTTTGATAAATCATTTTATTTTTATTAAAAATTTTAATATAATTATAGCATTTTATTATAGTGTTATTTACAATCAAAACCAGAATTTTGGATCAGACCCTTATAACTAAATATCTTTTATCCTTTTCTAGTCAGATTCTGTTCTATTCTAATTTAATAAAAAGTAATGCAACGTAACACCACGGATACAATGCTTTTCCCTTAATAATCTCTCATTAAAATCCAACAAACTTCCTTACCCTAAATATACTAAGAACAATGCCTTAACAAACTATGATATTAGATCCCAGTAGAAGAATTTGTTCTGTTATGTTCTGTTATGTTCTGTTAGTTTGGCCAGTTAGAATTCTGAATACTTGTATAACTTGCCCTGACCCATGGATTCAATCACATCTCCATTTCCAAGCCTTTGGAGTATGAATGTGTGATTTGTAGGAGTTGATGAAGTTGTTTTTGTGTGGATGCATAAAGTTTTATGTCTTCCATGTACATGAGATGTGACAGTGTAAACTGTGTTATTTTCTGATATTGTAACTATGTTGCATGTTGTTTAACATGGTAGATAACAGATTCAGGGCTAAGCAGAACCAGAGGGGATTCAAGGAATCTCCTTGAAAAATTCCTTACCTAATGAATATTTGGTTTGTTTGTATGAAAGTGTTATGAATCCTGAGATAATCACGTACTCTGAACCAATTACAATGTGCACATAAACAAAACAAACACAAAAACAAACATTTTTGAATTCCACCTAAGTTCTTCATCAGGCTTTGTAACGATTACCTGATGGATCTTTGTAAAAGCTTTTGGAATAAAAATTTGAACAAGTGTTCAAATATAAGTTCTAAAAATTAAAAACCACCTGCCTGCACAATCAGTTGCCCTACCGGGACTCAACGAACAGCTAAACAGTGTTATCAATCAACTCTTGCCAGGCCATTGACAAAACCATTTCCTCTTTATAATTTATTGCATGGTTGATGTAAAATTGGATTTAAATATCTGCACAGCCTCCAACCAACTGAGGTGTTCCGTGGGAGGCAAAGCAAGGATGAGTTTGGCCCAGTTAAAGTCAAGATGCTCTTGTAACCTGATTCCCATGGAGAACTTAGTTGACCCAATGTAAACCAGGTCTCTATTATATCTGTTGTCCCTAACGGAGACACTATATAAGCCAGGGAGTCTGTTCAGGTTGGGAGGGTCCTTCCCATTATGCAGCATGTCAAAAATAGTCAGGCACCTCCTGTAAGCGAGACACACCTGGCATTTCCTGGCAATTTCAGCACATAAGGATCTTAAGTACAGATTAAAGGTAATAGGGACCCATTCTACATCCTTGGATTGATTATCGCTCAGCAAGTCAATAGGAGTGTATCCTGAGTGCATCCGATGATAATATTCATCAGCCCACGTGTAACGACCACACACACTATAAAATGTTAATTCGGCAGCGAGAGCCTGGGGAGTGGAAGAGTGTGTAAAGACTCTTCTAATTAAGGTCTGTAAGGAAAAGGATCACAAGACCCCACTGGTATGTACAATGACATGGAACCCGGTTTACGAAATACCAAGGTGTGGATACAAGACCCCCCTCCCACTACATCCAACACAATAATAATTATTATATTTATATATAATTATAATTATCTGAAGATATAAATATAAATGAGGTAAATATACTCTTTTTGTTTAAATAAATTCTGTTTTGTAATACTATGTGTGTTTTTAAGTTTAATTTTAAAAATATATCAAATTATTATTAAACAAACATCAGAAATTATAGTAATGAAATGATTAAGTTTAATTTTCTAATTAATGGATTAATAATAAGTTCTTTTATAAAATATAATTTTAATAGTGTTAATCTTACCAAGCTGAGCCTGAAAGTCCAGCTACATAAGTTATACAATCTAAAATTCCTGTATCTGATAATGCCTTGAATACCCCACTTAATGCTGTCATTGCACGAAATCCACCTCCAGATCCTAAAAGACCAATTGTTGGTACCTATATAATTTTAAAAATATATTTTCATTCTTTAACAATTTAACTTTAAATAATTTTGGTACATTCTCAATAAAAAAAAGGATATATCAACAATAGTTCTCTTATTCAAATTGTAAATGTGTTAACAGATAAAATAATTATTCTAATATTGCAAATTACTAGTATATATCACTTACAAAAAAAAAATACTATTAATAAGTAATTTCAATATACACTTTATACTGATAAAACAAAGTTCTTATAATAATTGGAAAAGTGAAAACTTTGTCGATTTAGCTTAAAATAAACTGAAAATATATGAATTTTTGCAACTGATTGACAAAATTTGACAGAAAAAAAATATATGTTGAAATGAGGGCTGTGGAGTGAGTCAAAAATAATTCTTGAATTACTGGAGTCAGAGTTAGAGTCAGTAAAAATGGACTGTCAATGTGAATCACCACACTACTTGTTAGAACCATAACAGATTATGGTTGTAACAAGTAGTGTGGTGATTCACATTGACAGTAATGAAATGTCTTATATGTTACATGCATTTGATCCATATAAAAAGTATATAATTAATATGTTTATTATTTATAAAACTCATGTTGATATATAAATAAAGAAGACAGAGTCAGAGCATTTGTGTACCAACTGCACAGCCCTGGTTGAATTATTATATATGCGAGGAGTCCGATATTAAAGGCACAAGTTAAAATGATACTAACATTTATAAAATGAAGAAAATATTTAATACATTCCACAAAAACTACATACTTTTAATTCTCGACATAATCTCAGTAAACACTGAGACATTTATCCCAGCATGACACTAGTTCAAACATCCCTTCACAGTAGTGTTGCTTGTCAAGTTGCTTGAAGTAGTCCAGAACGGCGTCTTCCAATTCCTCCTGATCCACAAAGCGTTTCCCCGCCAAAAATTTCTTTAAAGGTCCGAATAAATAAAAATCCAACGGGGGGCTAAATTTGACTATGCAGAGGATGTTGCAGGACCTCCCAATTCCACTCTTCCACCCACAGTTTGGTTTGATTTGACATGTAGCGTATAGTCCAGATAAAACTAGTGTCATGCTGGGATAAATGAATCAACATTTACGATGATTACGTCGAAAAATAAACAAAAGTACATAGTTTTCTTAGAATGTATTAAATATTTTCTTTAATTACAAACGTCAGTGTAATTTTGACCTGTGCCTTTAATATTGGACTCCCTCAAATAATAAATATATATATATATATATAATATATAGGCACACACTGTAATTATATATGAGTATAATTTAAAAAAACATTTATACAGTAATGGACATTAAAATGGCTTTAGTTCCTTACTCACTTAACTGAATCCATGTGGAATCAGTTAAATTGTAAGAAATGAGATCATAATTCAGGCCAGTCAATCCAAGAAAAATTCTAAGTTCCAACTTGAATTCAAACCTGGATTCCTCAGTATAACAGATTAAAATGTTGATAATTTAACCATCTTGCTGGCTAACTTACACTAACATACGTTTACTGATTTAGCAAACAGAATAAAATAGTTCTACTTGTTTATATTACATCATTGGTTAAAAAAAATCTCAAGAAGTAGTTTTTTGTCTTCAGAAAATGTAAAGTACAGATTTAAAGAATTTTTCTCGGATTTAACTCTTGACACCGTAAGCACTAAGAGCGTCTTCTTCCATGTTCATTGTAGGTTTAGTCAGGAGGTGAGGGATGAGCACAATATCTGGGACAGACCACACACAAAAAATTCTTGGTACAGTACATCGCTCACCTAAATTCAATTCCAGGTTCCCCACATTACTAAGCTGATGCCTTAACTACCTTGGCCTTCCAGCCATCTAGATTTAAAGAATTAGATTTTATTGTATTTTTATGTTTTCTTCCATCTAATTTAAGATTATGTTATATTTATAGATGGTTAATACAGCTTTTAAATAAACAGATGCAATTATTTCTGAAAATGGATAATTTTTCTCAGATAAAACACTTGATATAATTTTCTAAATAAATTAATTTAAAAAGAATATTATTTATTTTTTTACATAAACTACACTTATTATTTAAGATGTCTACTCAGACTTATTTTATTAACAGTCTTTATTTTTCACCTGTAAAACAGGTGAAAAATAAAGACTGTTTGTTTTCTCTGATAGGCTTTCTTAACTTTTGCTGAACAAAGATGTTGTTATAATAAGTCCTGTTAATAAAATAAGTCGTAGTAGACATTTTAAATACGATTTAATACATTTACTTGAGTGTATTAAAATGGATTAAAATTTTTTTATACAGAAAAAATTAATAAATAAAACTAAAATGTATTTAACTACCTCTTTTTCATTTTGTGGTCCTCTCTCTTTTAACANATATTAATAAAATGTAATAAAATGAATTCAACTACTCAAAATTCTAAAAAGATTGTAAACTTCTTGTACTATTTATTTTATAAATCAATTTTTTTCTTAATTTTTCTAAATTAGATAAAGATTTATAAAATGATATAATCAAACAATTATTTTTCTTTACAAAATGTCAGCACTACGTTCATAGATTCTGTTAACAGTGGTTTATAAATGCTAGATATTTTTACTGATTTGTATTTTAAAAGCTATTTACCTTGAAAAACTCTAGCTGATACATTGCTTTTAACATGAAGGCAAGTATAAAAAGGCATTGGTAATTGTCCGTCTTCAATTTTTGTTTGTTGGTGTGACAAACAACAGTCAGTTCTCTAAAATAATATAAATAATTTTAATATCAATATATAATTAAAAACAATAATATTTAAACTTTAATAACACTAATTAGTTTTAATAAAAAATGAATACCATAGTTATTTGAGGCATGTGGCTAATCAAGTTCTGATGCTAATTCAAGGAAATATGGTAATTAAAATTTTGTTAATTCATATTCTTTTTCACAAACTATTACATAAAAAATATTCTTTTTTTTTTTATCTTAACTTCTTCAGTAATATCTGAAAACACTTCTGTCGCATGGCATCTAACAGATGCCAAAATCCCTTAGTTAGTCTTTCATTTTAAATTACACAAGCACAACAGAGCTAAATTACAGTCGACTCCCCTATAATGTACGTTCCTATAACGACAATTCCTATAACGTAGCGAAAAAATTGTAGCAACTTTCGTATAAAATACCTCCTATAACGTCGTTTCGCGACAAGATTGATAGAATCTGGACCAATAGTGGATGAGCAGCCGAACTACTTTCCTCCGACCCTGCGCCACGCTACGGAGCGGCTAAATTGAGTTTGCTATCGTCTGTTTAGTATTATATATAAATTATATATAAATTAGGTACTGTACATATAATTATATATTAATTATATATAAATTAGCTACTGTATATATAATTATATATTAACTTAATTTATTGTAAGTTTATTATAATTATATATATGCTTTCTGCCGCCTGGCAACACG